GCCCCCCCCGCCGTGCCGGCCGCGACACCTCCACCGTGGGAGTACCTGGGGGGAGAGAGCGTCAGCGGGGCCGGGCCAAGGGGGCAGGTCCCTTCAGTCCTGTCCCAAGGGGAAGGAGCATTTGCTGGAGCCCCACCCTCTCTACCCACTAGACCCCACTGCCACCCTCCCCAGTGTCAAGGGCAGAGCCCAGTGTCCTGCCTCCCAGCTCTAACCTCGCCTCCCCCGGACTGAGCTGTGGGCAGAACCCAGAGCCAGCCCCCAACCTCCTGCTCTAAACCCCTAGTCGGGTTACCAGGTGGCTTAAAAAAAATACAGGACACACTTGATCTCAGGTGAGGGGGGGGAGGACATTGGTCGGGTGGGGAGTGGGGATGGCCGAAAGGATGTGTGTGTGTGCGGGGGAGGGGGGATGGAACCAGCTGGCGGGAAGCAGAGGTGGGGGGGAGTCAAGGGCAATGGGGCTGGGCAGGAGAGATGGGGGGGCCCAGCCGACGGAAAGTGGGGTTGGCCGGGGAAGATCAGGTGGTGGGAGGGGAGCAGCGCTGCCTGGGAGGTGGTTGGGGGGAGCAGGGTGGCCGGGGGTGGGTGGAAAAATCAGCCGGCGGGGAGCGGGACTGACCCGGGGGCATGCAGATCCCGGGGCGCTGGCTGTCCCAGGCCCGGTCCTGGCAAAGTGCAAGTGAGTCCGCCCCGGGGATTCCCCCCCACCCCTTGCGTGTTGCGTACGGCCTGGCTGGTGGACACTGATGCAGGGGGAGCGTATGGACCAGCCAGGCGGGTCCCAACTAGGCACTGAGAACCCTAATAAGAATAAAACCGATCTCATTAGCAAACACCGACATTTTACGTGTCCGGTATTTTCACAATTTTTTCCCAGACAGAACACACAAATACCGGACTATCTGGTTCAACACCAGGCACCTGCAACCCGAACCCCTAGTCCCTGCTGCTCTAACCCCTAGTCCCCGCTGCTCGCCCGAAACGGGCAGAACCACCAGCGCCTGCACCACCCCTGTTCTAACCACTAGTCCCCGCTGCTCGCCCAAAACTGGGACAGAACCACCAGCGCCTGCACCACCCCTGTTCTAACCACTAGTCCCCGCTGCACCAGGCACAGAGCCCAGGTGTCCTGGCTCCCCCGCCCTCTCTGAGAAGCCTGACTGGAAGCAGCACTCACCTGTCCCCGGGTGCGGCTCCGACTCACACTCATCCCGGGTTTCATCCACCCGACAGCGCAGCACCGTGCCAGGGCCCAGCCCGGACGGGCTTATTCGCAGCTTGGTCGCCCAGTCACCACCCAGGGTCTGGTCTGGGCTCAGCCTCGTGCCGTCTGGGCCGTACCAGGAGGGGCGCTGGGGGCAGGCGGCCCCCACGGAGCAGACAAGGTCAGGTCCCGCTTCTGTTCGGCTTCCCAGCGAGGGCTGGCACTGACGGGCTGCGGGGAGAGCCGGGGTCAGGAGCCACTGAACCCCTCTGGGTGCCTGGCTACCGGGAGCGGAGTGGGGTCCGGGGGCGGGCGCAGCGCAGCCTGGGCACTCGGCTGGCGGGGCAGGGAGGGTCCGTGGGCGATGGGGGAGCAGCGAAGTGAGCCAGGGACACAGGGAGCAGCCACCTGGGGGCGCCGCACGTCGGGTCTCAGCGCCTCCCGGACCCCTCCCGGTCCAGGCAGTTCTGACCTATTAGCCGCCCGCTCTACCCCCCTCTGCCCTTTGCTCTAACCACTACCCCCAACTGCCCTCTACCCCCACTTCCCTCTGCTCTACCCCCCACTGCCCTCTGCTCTACCCATTACAACCCACTGCCCTCACCACTACACCCCACTGCCTTCTGCTCTACCCTCTACCTCCCACTGCTCTACCCACTACTCCCCACTGACCCGTGCTGGGGAGAGAACCCAGGAGTCCTGGCTCCCAGCTCTAGCTGCCTCCTGCTGGAGGGGATGAGCCCTGCGCTCCGAGGTGTCCAGTGACCCGGCCCTGACCTGGGGTGCTGGACGGAGGCTGGTTACTGGAGACACTGAGCTGCTGTCCGGGGTCACTGCTCCAGGTCTTGTTCTTTTTCTTGTGTGGGCTCTCTCCCTGGACCCAGAAGCGGTAGGTGCCCTGGTCGCTGGGGCGCAGCCCGGTCAGTCGCAGGGAGCAGCTCCCCTGCTGGTCCCCCAGGTAGCGGACGCGCCCCACAAAGGCAGGGTCGATGTCAGTCCCGTCCGAGTGATACACGGTTTGTTTCCTGTCCCGTGTCCAGCTCACGGCCCCGACGGTCCAGTCCCGGGGGAGGGAGAAGGAGCAGGGGATGGTCACGCAGGAGCCGACCCAGCCAGCCAGGGGCCCTGGGCTGAGGGTCACGTTCCCCTTGTGGGCACCGGCACCTGCCGGGGACAGGACCCAGGGATCAGCCCGGAGCAACGAGACGGGAACCCGCCCAGGGCTGGGCTGCAGCACAGATCCCCCCGGGAGGGTCCAGGCGAGCTCCACCCCCCAGCCCAGGGGCATCACAACACGATGGGGGATGTTGTGTCGTGGGCCCGTCCGAGCCCCCCGCCCCCGTGTGGGGTGACAGCCCGGCCCGTGCGCCCCTGCCAGCTGGGAAGGGCGTTTAGAGAGATCCCCTCTGACTCGGCCCATCCCCCACCCAGCAACGCATCTCCCCAGCCCCAAATCCCTCCTGCCCCCCAGTTCTCTCTTCAGACCCCTCCCTCCTCTGCCCAGTCCCATCTGTCAGTCCCTCCTCTGCAGCCCATTAGTTCCCCCTCAGACCAGCCCCCCTAAACCCGTTTAGTTCAACTGCCCTGCCCCCCTTCAGTCGGGCCCCTCGGCTCCCCTCGCTTTAGGCCCTTGCGGTTCAGGCCCCACATCCCTCCAGTGCCCCCTCCCCTCCCCTCTCCGCTCAGCTCCCATAGCTGGGTGCCAGGGGCCCTGACTGCGGGGACCCAGGCCGAGGGGCCAGATCCTGTTGGCCGGTTCCTGCCGGTTCCATCACAGGACGGGAGCTTTAACCCCCGGGGTCCCGCTCAGCCCGGTGGGTCGGTGACTCCTGGTCTGGCGCTTCCCCCGCACCAGAAGCCGGGGCTGCCGTGGGTGGGGCCAGTCGGGCTGGAGCTGACGGATGGGCAGGGCAGGGGGCAGGATCTCCGGGCAGGGCAGGGGGCAGGATCTCCAGGCCGGCCCAGGAGACACCCCGATGCACAGGGGCAGCGAGAAGCCCAGGGGCAGGGCGTGGCGCAGGGAACACGGAGCCCGGGGTAGGGGGTGACGGAGCCATCACTGCAAAGCCCAGGGCTGGGGTTGGCCCAGGCTGCTCTGTCCTGAGAGCCAGGCTTGTGCTACCCCCATGTCTCCAGCAGCGGGCCCAGCTACTCGGGCTCAGGTTCTGGGCCAGATGCCCCCTGGAGTTGGGGCGAGGGGCTGGGACCTGCCTGCGTGGAGCCCAGTCCCTGAGCCCCGTGGCAGGGCAGACGTACTGGAGGGCCGGGGAACGGTCCCATGCGGGTGCCTGGGCGCGGCAGGGCAGGGCAGGGTGGGGCAGGTCTGGCTACTCACCGCTCAGCAGGCAGAGGGCAGGGACCAGCACCCAGGCCATCTCCGTCCGCCCCGAGCGCCGCTGGCCTGGCAGGGGAGAGCACCCGGAGTGACTCCCCACCGCGTTCCTGGGGGTGACTCGTCTGTGCCGGGCCCTGGCTCCCGGCTGCGGGATCAGCTGTGCTGCGGGAGTTTCCCAGCCAGGGCCCATCTGGGAGTTTGCTGCCCAGAAACAGGCGCGGGGCTCAGAGACTGGCCGCTTCGTAGGCTGCGCGCCTGGCCAGGGGCAGGTTCCCATGTGGGGTGACACGTGCGGGAAGATGGGGGGGGACTAACCACTTTGGGGTGCGGTAGGGACACTGGGGGATGCTCTGACCCCTTGGAAAGATCCTAGTTGGGTAGGGCATGGCAGGCCCAAGGGGCAGGGTCTGGGCTCAGTGTCACTGCTGGGAGGCAGGAGAAGCAGAGATCAGGCCGGACTCCCCAGGGAGCTCCCCTCCCTGCATCACATGACTGCAGACCCCTCGTCTGTGCAACCCCCTTATCTTCCATTTCTCCCTTCAAAGCCTACTTCTTTCTATAATTCTCCAGTGAGGCCAGCCTTATCAATCCAAACCAAGGGTGGGCAATAATTTCTGATCGAGGGCCACTCCAAGATTTGGTAAGTGGTCAAGGACTGCACTTTTCTATTGAGTGCTGGGTCTGAGATACAGGCTGGGTGCAGAAGGGAGCTCGGGTAGGAGACTGGGGGCAGGAGAGAGGTGGGGTCTGGGAGGGAGGTTGGGTGAAGGAGGGGCTGTGATCTGGGCAGGGGAATGGGGTGCAGGTCCGGGAAGGGGCAGGTCTATAGGAGAGGATGCAGGGTCCAGGAGGGAGTTGTGACCTGGGGGGGGGGCAGAGGGTTTGGGTGAGGACCCGGGGCAGGAGGCGGTGGTGGTCTGGCACAGGGAGTTGCTGGGGGAGGGGCTG